GAGCCGGAGGGTGATGTAGGAATCACCGAGGTAGAGGAGACTCCCAGTCTGACGCAGACCATCGATGAGCTGGAGATTCATGGAAAAGGTTCTGAGGAGATTGACAACATGATGACACTGGAGGAGGACGTTCCTGATGCAAACATCAAGGAGAAAAAGAATAAGTTAGCAGAGGAGGATGTAAGAGAGGAGGAGGAAGGACACTTGGAATCAGACGTGAGGGTGGAAGAGGAGGATTCTGAGAGTTGTAACGCAGAGAAGAAAAGCGATGAGGATGCTGACCTGTTGAACTCCAATCTCCAATCCAAACCTCTGAATGATGTTGCAGAGAAACCGAGGAAGAAAAAGAAAAAGGATAAGTTAGCAGCAGAGGATGTAAGAGAGGAGAATAATGGACACTTGGAATCAGATGTGAGGGTAGAAGAGGAGGATTCTGATCGTTGTGACACAGAGAATGCCGGCGAGAAGAAAAACGATGAAGATGTTGACCTGTTGAAATCCAATCTCCAATCCAAACCTCTAAATGATGTTGCAGAGAAACTAAAGAAGAAGAAAAATAAGAAGAAAAAGAATAAGTTAGCAGCAGAGGATGTAGGAGAAGAGGAGGAAGGACATTTGAAATCAGACGGGAGGGTGGAAGAGGAGTCTGTGTCTTTAGAGAGTTGTGACGCTGAGAATGGCAGTGAGAAGAAAAGCGATGAGGATGTTGATCTGTTGACATCCAGTCTCCAATCTGAACCTCTGATTAATGTTGCAGAGAAACTAAAGAAGAAGAAGAAGAAGAAAAAGAATAAGTTAGCAGTAGAGGATGGAGGACAGGAGGAGGAAGGACACTTGGAATCAGACACGAGGGTGGAAGAGGAGGATTCTGTGTTTTCTGATCGTTGTATCACAGAGAATGGCAGCAAAAAGAAAAGCGATGAGGATGTTGACCTGTTGAACTTCAGTCTCCAGTCCGAACCTCTATATGATGTTGCAGAGAAACCAAAGAAGAAGAAGAAGAAAAAGAATAAGTTAGCAGCAGAGGATGGAAGACAGGAGGGGGATGAAGGGCACTTGGAATCAGACGTGAGGATGGAAGAGGAGGATTCTGTGTTTTCTGATCGTTGTGATGCAGAGAATGGCGGCGAGAAGAAAAGCGATGAGGATGTTGANAGGAGATCATGAAGGTGTAGAAGAAGACAAGAGCCAGAGTCAGGACGAGCCGGAGGGTGATGTAGGAATCACCGAGGTAGAGGAGACTCCCAGTCGGTCGCAGACCATCGATGAGCCAGAGATTCATGGAAAAGATTCTATGGAGGTGGACAACATGATGACACTGGAGGAGGAGGAGGATGTTCCTAATGCAAACATCCAGAAGAAAAAGGATAAGTTAGCAGCAGAGGATGTAAGAGAGGAGGAAGGACACTTGGAATCAGACGTGAGGGTGGAAGAGCAGGATTCTGAGAGTTGTATCACCGAGAATGGCGACGAGAAGAAAAGCGATGAGGATGTTGACCTGCTGACGTCCAGTCTCCAATCCGAACCTCTAAATGATGTTGCAGAGAAACCGAAGAAGAAGAAAAAGACTAAGTTAGCAGTAGAGGATGTAAGAGAGGAGGAGGAAGGACACTTGGAATCAGATGTGAGGGTGGAAGAGGAGGATTCTGTGTTTTCTGATCGTTGTGACGCAGAGGATGGCGGCGAGAAGAAAAGCGATGAGGATGTTGACTCACTGAAATCCAATCTCCAATCCGAACCTCTAAGTGATGTTGCAGAGAAACCGAAGAAGAAGAAGAAAAAGAATAAGTTAGCAGCAGAGTATGTAAGACACGAGGGGGAGGAAGGACACTTGGAATCAGACGTGAGGACGGAAGAGGAGTCTGTGTTTTTAGAGAGTTGTGACACAGAGAATGGCGGCGAGAAGAAAAGCGATGAGGATATTGACTCACTGAAATCCAATCTCCACGCCAAACCTCTGAATGATGTTGCAGAGAAACCGAAAAGGAAGAAGAAGAAAAAGACTAAGTTAGCAGCAGAGGATGTAAGACAGGAGGGGGATGAAGGGCACTTGGAATTAGATGTGAGGGTGGAAGAGCAGGATTCTGTGTTTTCTGATCGTTGTGATGCAGAGAATGGCGGCGAGAAGAAAAGCGATGAGGATGTTGA